AAAAAACGTGTTGTTGAAGCTAGAGCATTGGGATCTCCAAAATGTGTTTTTTTTTTTTAACCGTGGGTCGAGTTTAGTTCACGCCGCTGCTAAAAATTAGTGTTAAATTGTCCCAAAGTACGCTCAAACTGCTTCATTAAATATTCTTTTAACTTACATAAGTACCGTTGAACATAGCTCAGGGTCGGATACATTGTGGAAGAATACAAGTGAGATATCTTAGGGTTGACAGATAGTTGACAGGGTGTTCAATATGGCGATGACAGTGTGAACAATATGGCAGCCAATATGGCATACAACACCAAATGGCCCGAGGTAGCCAAACTACGACCCGAATGAAACGCTTCGTGAAAATCCAGGGTTGCGAAGTGGTATTTTGTTGGAAAATATAAAAGCCAGGATTTTGTGCAGCGCCGAATTTTAACAAAAGAGGGTTTTGTGTTCTCAAGATGAACAGAAAAGGGTTGCTGTGCTGTTTCGTTTTAAGCTTATTTTAATCTTAAGGTATCTAATTAAATATTAAAAGGAGACAAAAATTAAAGCAAAAATTTAAAATATATGTACATATCTGAAAATTTTAAATAAAATATATATTTTCACGAGAGACAAATTAAATAAAATGGGTTAACTTTAGGGGAAATATACTTATCAGATTGGGTCAGATAGCGCTTTTACGTTATAAATAAAAATAATTCCTACTTAAATTTTATATAATTTTGGTAACGTATTTCTAAGCTGACCCTGAGATCTGCGAAATAATACATATTTATGTGCATATATTGTGTTGATTATGCTCTAAATCGCTAAATAATTCTTGCAGCAATCAGCACCATTGGAAAGTGAAGTGACAATAGGCTGGTTTTCTTTATACAGCCCGTTTTAAATTCGTATTATTGTTATAATAAATTACAATTATTGTTTGTTTCCATTTCGGTCAACCGCGCAAATTATTTATTAAAAAAATGTCGTTTAAAAATAGCAATTTTGTTTACTTTTGAATAAGACTTTATCGAGTGCGCTATAAAGACAGGGGGATAAATGCTGTAAAGAAATATATGTTGAGTCCAATCGGTTTTTTGCTAATCCGGTTTTTGTGTAGGTATAAACAAGGTATATTAAAAAAATAAATCTCCATGAAAAAATATCGTTATTTTCGTATTTAAAATTAATCGGAATTTTATGGGGGGTTATAAAAACTCGTTTTAATTGAAACTTTGTTTTTTTCGGCTTTATTTGTTATTATTTATTGGCCCAGAGGCAAATATTGAATGAACTAACATATTTTAAATATTTACGGAACTACCATTTGTATGCAACCCTGCCAATCCTATATTCAAGTAGATGTAATTCGAAAAATTTAAACGGATTTCTTCAAATCAACCTGAGCTGCGGACATATTGCGAATTCATTTTTAAACATTAACCACTTCATTATATTAGTATTAAATACTTTCAATTAAGAAACAATTCTTATTAGAAAATAAATATGAATCGTTTTATTTTAAATATTCCAATGTATATTTTTTGTTAATGCAGATAGTGCGGATTTAACGTATTTTATACCCGTTACATGGGGAACATAAATTTAAGGCAGATTGCTATTAACAATTTTTACACAATTTCTTTCAAAACTATAATCTATATGATTGCAAGTTGAATTTTTTACGATCAAAACAGATTCCAATATTAGGTATATTATGCAAATGCGATCCAATTTGATTTGAGTTACTCAGTTTTAGATACATTTATATTTCTGTGTTCGTATGGAATAGTAGTTTATGTCGGGAAGCTGGCTTTACTGCAGTACTGCAGTAACTCGACACCTTCCTCACCAACAGCTCTGTCCTCTATGAGCTTCTTAATGTAACTGCATATAAAAGATGGAAATTTAAGAAAAATTACTATCACAGCATTTCACTTGTAGCGTTTCACTCTTGTAGTATATTGGCTATCAAGCACCAGAAAATTTCGATCACGCATTCCATATGCCACCGATTGTCGTGGATCAATTAAAATACTGTCATCACAGCTTTTTGGTACTCCAGCAACTGGTGTGTCTATGGCGGAGTTATGTGGAGCTGTTCCATGACTACTCAATTTGGACTCTTTGAGAACTGGCTTGTTTGTTACGAGAGCTATTGGCATCAAATGTATGCAAATTAGATTTCCAAACGAGCAACTGTTGAATACAGAAAAAAATTTATATTATATAATATTTTTAAATACAAAGCAGAAATTACCTGTCGATTCTCGCCCGCGGAAGCAAAATGTCTACCATGTGGAGAGAAAGCGACAGCGCAAACTTAGTAGCCAGTTAGTGTATAATTTTCCCGTCCATTTTGACCTGGTTCCGCTAAAGTGCCCTACTACCGTGTATAAATTGGCCGACCTTCTAATAAATCAAGCAATCTTATTGTATCGTCATCGCCGCCAGTCACCAAGAAATTTCCACTTGGGTGAAATGCAACATCATTCTCCGGCGACGAATGCACTGTATTAGCTCGCCTTCAGCTTTGTCAAATATCTTAACGCGGTTACAACTTAATGCTAAAGCCACCAGATTGCCGTCTGGATGCCATGCCAGCTGTCGTCCCATACCTCTTCCCCCGGTGAACGTTCGCATACATTCGCCTGAAAATGTATCGCAAATTCTTAACTTGTCGCCGCACGATGAAATGAACTTACCATTAGGGCTGAATTTTGCTGCGCGCACCCATTTTTGTGTATTTTGAATTAGTATTTTGATGGCTGTTCGCCATTTTTCTAGTCTGCAAACGAATAAGCTGACGAAGATGCAAACAAATTCAACCACATTGTTGCATTCTACCGTACTTTTTAAAATTTTTAAAATCTTAAAACATATGTGAAAAACTTTTATAATCTGAATATTTCTAATGTCGAAATCAAAACGAAATTTACTAAATAGCATTTTTAAAAAACAATCATCTAATATTTTTCAAGTTTTTGGGCATATATTTTACCATTTGAACCACAAATACTACTAAGTTGTATAAGACTATTTAATGCAACTCAGGTCAAAAAAGAGCAGTTTAGACCAAAATAAGCAGCTCTAAAAAACAGATGATCGCAGCTGTGGCCCAGGATGACGTCTATTGCTAAGATATCTCACTTGTATTTGTACACAATGGTCGGATAGCGTTCGCCACTTATCTGCACCAGTGTTGCCAACTCCAAAGCTCCAAAAATCCCATTCCCCGTGGAAAAACGCCCATTTTATCCCATTTCAAAATCCCAAATTCCCATTTATGAATATCAAATATTAGGAGTTTTTAATAACAGTATATATAAATAGTCTTTTATTTTTAAAACCATTACAAGGAAAATTTTAGGTTAATTATATAAACCCTTTAGACTTTGACTTAGAATTTTAATGTACGTACATATGTACATATATGAAGAATATTTTCATAGCTTTCTATACATAGCCGTATTGAATAACTTAAAATGATCATCTGAACAAGAAAAGCTTGTGAAATTAATATTTTTATTTTGAAAAGCTGACTTAATAACGCATTTAAACTCTCTTCCCC